GTTGTTGCCCAAAAGATATCATCACCGACAATTGCCATTGAAACTGGTCTGTCGACATCATATAAGAACGTATGATGAACTTCCCCTAAAACGAATTCAAACCGATATCAATAAATCGATCAGCGAAATTATAACTCAGCATTTTCAGAACCAAAATTCAAAACCTACCATTGTAATTAGTGTAGGATATTTTCGATTCTGTGTAATCGGCCCAAAATACTTCACTCAACTCGTGATCCTTAACCATGGCAATTGGTCCACCTCCTAAGTCCTCTTCTATAACATGGAAATGAGCTCCTTGTCCATTTGGTTCAATCATATCGATGTGTGTATGATTCGCGGACTTCAGCGCTACAAACAACTTTCCAACTTCTGTAAGTGCGACCAATCCAATCGGAGATCCCGCACCCATGAAGTGTTGCACAACAGCACGGTGTTGAGTATTGAATGAATATACTTCAATTGTGCTGCGGAAGAGATCTGCCCAGTATAGATTGTTGGCCAGCTCATCTGTGATTTTCGAAAGTTTGATTAGTTGAGATTAATGACTGAATGAATCAGTAAAACCTACCGAATGTCATGGCAACAATCAAATCGATGTTCCCCTTGACGATCTCTTTCGTTGCGTAGTCTTTCATTCGTACTTGGACGATAGCTTCGCGCAAGTTATCTGCCACGATTATATCACCGGTAATGGAGTTGTATGCCATTTTATCAATGCGATACTTCAGCACCTTTCCTTCACCGTCTTCGTGTCGCCCGAAAGATTGGTGTTCGAATGTGACTAGACGATTTCCTATGCCAAGCAAAAGGATCTTTCGCTTGCCTGTCCATCGACAAGTGTGTTTGTCTACAGTTAGCTCCATGTATTTTGGGCAATCGCAAGTATACGAGCTATTCGAATTTAACAGGCATAAATGGCTGCATCCACTGTTTTTGCATGGATTTGCGCTATATCCTTCCAAGGCTGGATGAAAGACGTGAATGTCATAAATTACACTATCACGAATGATTGTTGTTCGATTTTTGCCCGTGAACTTGTTGCAAGACTGAATACTCTTTGAATCCCAATCGGACCAGTACAACGAATCTTGAAAGACGGCGATTCCATAGGGATGCTTTGATATTTCTTTGATGACCAGTCTTCGGTCGCTTCCATCCAATTTGCAACTTTCGATCGTTTTGGGTTTTGCATCGACCCAATAAATCCGTTCATTTGGCCAGTCGAGAGTTAAGCCATTTGGCCAGGTAATGTCTTTACTTACAAGTTTCTGGTTGAAATTGCCATCCATCGATGCAACGGCAATCATTGGATTCACTCCCCAGTCGGTCCAATACATTTTACCTTTTTGCGGATACAACGCGATGCCTCTTGGTCGATGCACATTCTCTGTGATGATGGCTTTGCAATAGCGACCGTCGTTGTTACACACGGCCACGTGTTGGAAATCATTGTCCGTGAAGTAGATGTTGCCGGTTACGTAATCAACGGCAACATCTTCTGGTTTGCCCAAACCGGCAGTGAATAGCGTCTGTAGAGCATTAGAAAAACCCATATTTATTCGGAGTTCTTGACAAAACCAAATTCGACACTGAATCGATTCGGCATCTATTAGTTTTTCAAATTCCACCAGCAAATTTTACCTGTATTTCAGAGCCATCTTTGTTCGCTTTCATGACGCTTTCGACTTGAGCATAGATATCAGTCCAGTAAACATGTTGACCGTAATAGCTCACGCCGATGACTTGATTCAAATTTTCAGCCACTCGTTTCATATGCTTGGATTTCAGCGAAAACCAATTGACCGTTTTGCTGGCTGCGTAAAGCAAAATCGCATCATCTGATCCATATGTTGTGCATGTATGATTGTTCTTAAGCAATCGAAACAGTGGAGCACAAGTGCATTTGTAAGATCCGATTATATTGACACAACCTTGAGAACACATGCCAAATTCCAAACATTCATTGATATCCTGAATCAATTCAAAGTGGTTAATATACAAGTATGCATTGGAAATGGCGTCCAAAAAGGTCTGTAAGTTACCTCACACTGTTGGTTCTCTTCATCGAACTTGAAGCCTTTCGGACAAACACAAGACTGACCAGTGGGTAGGTTCACGCAACGTCCATTTACACACGATTTTGAACAGATTTTTTTGCTTTTTTGCTTGAAACATTCATCGCTCTCGTCGTCACCGCTAGAGCAGTCTATCGGAATTCACAAGAACAACGTACATGAAATGTGCGGTGAAGCTTTTGTCAAGCTATGAGCGTAGCTTTATTCAATAGAATTTACCTTTTTTTCCATCGCAAACTTTATTCAGTG